TAACAGTAGTGCCTGTTTATCATCTGCCAAAGCCTATGCCATGGTCACTGATTTGTGTTCTCTCTCTCTTTCTCTCTCTAAAAAAAAAAAAAAAAAACCCCTATAACGAAACAGAATTTCCGGAGGATGAGACCCAGAAATCAGGATTTTAAAAAGATTCCCAGGTGATTCTAATGTGCAGCCAAGGCTGAGAACCACTGGGATAGAGCCTGCAGACTGAAGGGTCCCAGGTTAAATTCTGGTCAGGGGCACATGCCTGGGTTGCCAGCTCCATCTCCCCACTGGGGACCTGCAGGAGGCAGCCAGTCTGGTGATTCTCTCTCATCATTGATGTTTCTATCTCTCTCTCCCTTTCCCTTCCTCTCTGAAATCAATAAAAATATATATTTTTTAAAAAGCAATAAATAAATAAAAACTTTTAAGTTATTGAAATAGTCCAGAACCAAACAGAATGCATATGGCTGAGGTCTGCATATGGCTCCTGGGCTGCCAATGGGAGACCTCCGGCAGCGTGGGAAATTAACGTGAAGAGAGGGCGGTGGTTTTGCCCAGAGAGGAGGGGGAATGGGAGCCGGTGGCCTGGCTCTGAGATGTGCGGTGCCCTGCAGGGTCCCGGAAGGAGAGGCAGGTGTACTGCAAGGCCGTGAGGAAGCTGTTCGGAGTGGAAGCCTCTGGGAGGAGGGCCCGGGTCCGCAGGGGCGGCGGCCGCGGTCTCTGGCGCGATGACCTGCTAGAGCCCGCCACCAAGCCCAGCATCGCGGGCAAGTTCAAGGTGCTGGAGCCGCCCATGCTGGGCCACGACCTCAAGCTGGCCCTGAGCCTGACCAACCTCACCTCGCGGGCCCAGCGGGTCCGAGTCAATGTGAGCTGTGCCACCATCCTCTACACCCGCAGGCCGGTGGCCGAGATCCTGCGGGAGTCCCAGGCGGTGCGGCTGGGGCCCGAAGAAGGTAAGACCGCCTGCCCTGCCAGGTGGGACCGGGCCAGCCCAATACCTTTCCAGGAGGGTGGGGGCGAGGCTTGACTTCCCATAATCCTACGTTCATTCCCAGGAAAGGAGAAGGTATTCCTAGCATTTGATCAGGGCCTCGCCTCTAATCTGCACTTTCCAGATGAGAAAACGGAGGCTCGGAGGGGCTCACTAATGAGAATAGTCATAAAAGTCACAATCATCTGGTGGCAAACTGACCTAATAGTGAGAGGATTTATAGTCTCTATTTATCAAATTAGTACGAACATTTACATGCTGGGAGCATGTCATACCCTGTGGAATACGCTTGTGTTGCCTTCCCCAGGTGCCCTGCATGAGAGGGGTAGGTGAGTAAGAGACGTTTATTAAGTGCTTACACATGTCAGGCCCTGTCCTGGGAATTCAACTCACACCCAGAAAGGTGAACTCGCCAGTCCAAGGTCACACATCAGTCTGCGTAGAGGCAGGACTCACACCAGTCTGACCAAGAGCCCATGCAAAAGCCGGGCACATGGCGCAGCTGGCCCTGCGGCCTGACCACAGACCTTGGAGAGGTGGGTGCGGTCAGCCCACACGGACTGTGCTTAACGGGCTAACGGTACATTTGCCTGAAATGCATTCTTGATATTTTGAGCCAAAACATCATCCTTTTGAAATTTTTTGCACAATTTTAAGGTACTTTATTCTAACTGCTTTTAAATATGTATTTCAAGGACTTTTTACACCTGGCACTTCATCTATGATTTAATAAATGTATCCCATTTGATTATTCTTTTTCCTACTCTCTCTCCCTCCCTACCTCTTTGTCTTTCTCTCCCTCTTTCTGTCTTTGTCTATCTATCTCTTCACATACCTTCTGAACTCTAAGGATTCAATTAAACAAAGAAACTGTTACTCTGGGCCAGTTTGTGGTGAGGGAAACTTGTGTATCTTGACAAGGCGTGAAAACATATGAAGGAGGTGTCATTTAATTTTCACAAAATCTAAATCACACTTTATAATGAAATATTAATTAACATATACTTTCTCCTGGCTTTTAGCAATTTTTTTCATATTGAAAGTAATACACAGTCATTAATGACTGAGCGCACGCAAGAGAAAGATCACCCATGATCCTGCCACCCACCTACTGGTGAACATATTTTCCTTGCAAATTTTTAATGCTTGTTTGCTTTTTGAAAAACATCGTTTTAATTATATTGCAAATACTCATTGGTGCTCTGCTCTTTACACTTTACATTGTAATTTAAATTTTTATAAGCCTTTCATTAACATCATTTTAGTAGATGTGTAATCTGCAAAATATATGGTGATGTCTTTTATCTTTTCCCCTCTTTTGTGTAGTTGCCAGCTTATTGCTATTTAAAAATACAAACACTACCCTGGCTGGTTTGGCTAAGTGGATAGAGCATCGTCCAGTTGAATGAATGGCTCACAAGATCCCGCCTCAGCACCCTTGCAAAGTACCGGCCCAGGGATGGCTCCCACTAGGAAGTTCCCCTAACGTGGGCCTCTGTGCTCACTGTAGGCCACCCTGCCCCCTCCTCTCTCTGTGGCAGGAATTTCCATGTCTGGAATGAGAGCTGGTTTGCCCGGCAGGACCTGGGCCCCTCTTACAATGGCTGGCAGGTTCTGGATGCCACCCCCCAGGAGGAGAGCGAAGGTATGGGCTCAGCCGGGTGGGTCCCAGACACCTGCTTTCCCTCACCCATGCTGCTCACTGCTACCCCCCTGCCCAGGCGTGTTCCGGTGCGGCCCGGCCTCCGTCACTGCCATCCGTGAGGGTGACGTGCACCTGGCCCATGACGGCCCCTTTGTGTTTGCGGAGGTCAACGCAGACTACATCACCTGGCTCTGGAACGAGGATGACAGCAGGGAACGTGTGTATTCAGACACGAAGAAGATTGGGAGGTGCATCAGCACCAAGGCTGTGGGCAGCGACTCCCGCGTGGACATCACGGGCCTCTACAAGTACCCAGAGGGTAAGGGCAGCACGGCGGCCTCCGTCAGCCTCCCCGATGACCCGACCGCTGCAGAGGGACAACCGTGGGAGGCGGGACCAGGCCCTTTCCCGGATGTTCTGGTGGTGGTAGCATCCTTCAACACTGTCTCTGTGCTTTGAGCCAAGTGTCTTTAGCTTCTAGTAATAGCTCCCTCTGTTTTCTAAGATTTCCCACATCTAATGATATAAAAGCTGCATGTCCTTGAACACTTACCATGTGCCAAGCACTGTATGAGCTATGTTCACATATAATAATAATTAATATAAACATAGTGATGATAGTAGTAGAGTTTTTAAACTTGAACATCTAGTATACTTAGCACTAGGGCCCAGTTCAAAATTAATAATAATAATAAAAATAATAATAATAATAATAAATTGTTGTTGTAAACCAATATATTTTGGGAGGTTTGTTATTCTGTAATGATTAAGTGGGACAACATCAAATATACTGATATATATATACATATATACACTAATATGTGTGTGTATATGTGTATATATATATATACACATACACACAAATTCATATCCAAACCCATCAGAATGAAACTGCAGGAAATTAAATAAAAAATAAAATCTTTAAAAATACAATAACGTAAACATCTTGGTGCAAATATATATATATATCTCCTTTTTCTCACCTGAATTTTTTATTGTTTTGTTAGAATACATTCACAAACATGGAATTACTGAGCCAAATGGTATGTCTATTAAAGTATAAAATTTATTAACATTTATCATTTTTTAATTAATGGACATTTTTAGCAGTTTTAGATTTACAGAAAATTTGAGTAGAAAGTACAGATAGATCACATATACCCCCTCACCACCTCCCATCTTTCCCGATTATTAACATCTTGCATTAGTGTGGAACATTTGTTATAATTGATGAGCTAATATTGATACATTATTTATAAAGTCCATAGTTTACATTAGGGTCCACTGTATTGTACATTCTGTGGGTTTTGACAAATGTATAATGACATGTATTCACCACTGGAATATCATGCAGAATAGTTTCACTGCCCTACAATTGCGAAGTGTTTTTTTTTTTACCAGCTCATTCTTCCCTCGCTCTCCTTGAACCCCTGGCAACCACTGATTTGTTTACTGTCTCCATCGTTTTGCCTTTTTGAGAACGTCCTATAGTTGGAATCATAGAGCCTTTTCAAATTGGCTTCTTTCACTTAGAAGCATATGCTTAAGATTCCTCCATGTCTTTTTGTGCCTTGGTAGCTCATTTCTTTTTAGTGCTGAATAATAATCCATTATATGGACATAACCGTTTATTTATCCATTCACCCACTGAAGGACAGGCTTCTTGGTTGCTTCCAAGTTTTAGCAACGATGAAGAAAGCTGCTATAAACATCTGTGTGCAGGTTTTTGTGTGGACAGTTTTCAACTCTTTTGGGTAAATACCAAGGAGTGTGATTGCTGGATGGTAAAAGAGTATGTGTAGTTTTCTAAGAAACTGCCAAACTGTCTTTCAAAATGACTGTACCATTTTGCATTTCCACTAGCAATGAGCAAGAGTTACTGTTGCTCTACATTCTCTCCAACACTTGGTGTTGTCACTGCTTTAGAGTCTTGCCATTCTAATAGGTATGTGGTAGTATCTCATTGTTGTTTTCATTTGCATTTCCTTAATGATTTAGGATGTTGAGCGCCTTTTCATATGCATCTGTATAGTTTCTTTGGTGAGGTGTCTGTTCAGATCTTTTGCCCATTTTTTAATAGTGTTGTTCATTTTCTTATAGTTGACTTTAAGGGTATATTTTGGACAGCAGTCCTTTATCAGATACATCTTTTGCAAATACTTTCTCCCAGTCTGTGGCTTGTCTTCTCATTCTCTCTACAATGTCTTTCACAGAGCAGAATTTTATAATTTTAATGAAGTCCAACTTGTCAATTTTTGTCTTTCATGGATTGTGCCTTTGGTGTTGTATCTAAAAAGTCACCATTATACCCAAGATCTCTAGGTTTTCTCCTAGGAATTTTATAGTTTTGCATTTTACACTTAGGCTTATGATTTATTTTGAGCTCATTTTTGTAAAGGCTATAAATCTGTGCCTACATTTATTCATGTTTGTTTATTTGTATTTGAATGTCCAGTTATTTCAGCATTACGTTTTTTAAAAACTATAATTTCTTCATTTATTTCCTTTGTGACTATATTTATGTGGCTCTATTTCTGGACTATCTATTCTGTTCCATTGATGTATTTGTCTGCTCTTTGCCAATACCATACTGTTTTGATTATTGTAGCTTTTAGTGAATCTTAAAATCAGGTAGTGCTGGTCCTTTGATCTTATTTTCCTTCAATATTATGCTGACTGTTCTGGATCTTTTGCCTCTCCTCATAAACTTTAGAATCAGTTTTTTAATGTCCAGGAAATAACTTACTGGGATTTTGATAGGATTGCCTGAAATATAGATCAAGTTGGGAAGAACTGACATCTCAATAATATTGGGTCTTCCTATCCATGAACATAGAATATCTCTCCATTTGTTTATTTGTTTGACTTGTTTCGTCAGAGTTTTGTTCTTTCCTTATATAGATCTTGTACATATTTTGTCAGATTAATGCCCAAGTATTTCATTTTGGGGATGCTAGTGTAAATGGTACTGTGTTTTTAATTTCAAATCTCACTTCATTGCCAGTTTATAGGAAAGTGATTGTATATTGATCATATAGCCTGTGACCTTGCTGTAATCACTTACTAGTTCCAGGATTTTGTTGTTGTTCTTTCAAATCTTATCATGTCATCTGTGAACAAAGAGTTTTCTTTCTTCCTTCCTAATCTGTATGCCTTTTATTTCCTTTCCTTGTCTTATTGCCTTAGCTGGGACATTCAGTACAATGTTAAAAAGGAGTGATGAGAGGGGACATCCTTGCCTTGTTCCTGATCTGAGTGGGAAAGCTTTGAGTTTCTCACCGTAAAGTATGTTGTCAGCTGTAGGTATTTTGTAAATGCTCCTTATCAAAGTTCTCGGGGAACAGAGAGTGTGAGCCAAGTTCAAGCCTTTATGGGCCTTTTCCACAGGTTTAAAACTCAGGGGCAGGAAGGAAACAGAAATAAGGAAAGCAGTGGCAATAGAGCAGTAGAGGATGGTAGGGTCTGGAACAAACTGGGAAGGACATGGTACACCTAAGTAATAATTATATATGTATGTCAAAAAATAGCCCAAATATGACTGACAGTCAGATATGGCCTGTGGTAACCTATACTCACAAGAAAAGAATACATAGTGTGTTTGTGGCTGGTGAGAGACAGAGATAGCCTGGACCAGAGGAGCTTAGAAGGCAGAGGGCACAAGCTCACTGCGTGGGGGTATCAGTGAAGATTTTTCATTATTGGTAGGGCTGGTTAGGACTGGGCCTTCATAGGGAGGAACAAGAGAGAACTGTGAGGAAATTGGCCTCCTCCCTCGATTGGAAGCTTGAGACAGGTCTTTGGTCTCCCTCTTCTCTGCACCGAGCACATAGCAGGTGCTCAATAGACAGTGTGTGAATTCCTGATGGGATGAATGATTGATGAACTGAGAGATTTCCATCCGGAATGACTAGGAAAAGTTTAAAGACATTTCCAGGAACTCTTAGAGAGACAATCTGATGTCATGGTAGCTGACTGGCCTGAATTTGAATTCCACCTCATCTTAGCTCCTTGATTCACTTGCCAAGTGACATTGGACAAGAAATTACCCTCTCTGAGCCTTAGGTTTCTTCATCTGCGAACTGGTAATGATAATGCCTGATAATGCCTTCCTCCGGTTGGTTGCAAGGACCAGAAAGAGTATAGCTGTGAATTGAACATTTCCTTCCTCTTTCTGGGTCCCCTTGAAAAAGAACATTGGATTCCCAACTCCCACCTCTTCTTTCCCTTCCAGAGAAAAAGATCCCAATCACAATATCTTACTCTCAATATAAGGAAGACCTGACAGAGGACAAGAAGATCCTGTTGGCTGCCATGTGCCTTGTCACCAAAGGAGAGAAGCTCCTGGTAGAAAAGGACATTACTCTGGAGGACTTCATCACCATCAAGGTGACCCCTGTCCGCATCCACCACCTTGTTCCTGGCCGAGCTGCGGGAGGAAATCAGAGGCTCGGGGCGGGGGGAAGGGGGGTGCTTCTGGCTCTGGCTTCACCTCTCAAGGGTAGGAGAAATGGCATGGATGCAGGGGGATGGATATAATGATGGAGCTAGGTAACTGGGTGTGTGAAAGCAAGGGGTAGAGATAATTTTGCCCCATCATCTGACCCACCAGGACTATGGGTTTTCCTGGGCAAATGAGGATGAGAAGGGATGATTTTATGGGTATTGCCCCTCCAGGTGCTGGGCCCGGCCATGGTGGGGGTAGCAGTTGTAGTGGAAGTGATGGTGGTCAACCCCCTCTTGGAGAAAGTAAAAGACTGTATGCTGATGGTGGAGGGCAGCGGCCTTCTCCAGGGACAGCTCAGCATTGAGTAAGTGCCACTCTGGGGAGGGTGGAAGTGTGGGGGGAGGGCTGCCTTTCTTCTAAGATGGGCTATAGAGAAGCTGCTAATGTGACCTTGATCTTGAGGTTTCTGGAGAGCCACGGACTGGCAGGCCAGCTCAGGAATGGGAGAGGGCTGATGGTCTGCTTTTCTCCTTTTCCCTTCCCCCAGTGTACCCAGCCTGGAGCCCCAGGAGAGGGCTTTGGTCCAGTTCAACATCACCCCCTCCAAGAGTGGCCTAAGGCAGCTGCAGGTGGACTTTGTCAGCCCCCATTTCTCAGACATCAAGGGCTTTGTGATCATCCACGTGGCCACAGCCAAGTGATGGGCCACAAGGGGATGAGAGCAGAGGAGATGGCTCCTGTTCCTCTTCCATTCACCTTTTTGTCTCTGCCATGTGGAAGCCAGGAGCCCTGGGTTCAAGTCCTGCTTCAACTTCTGCCCCACTCTGTGAACTTGGGCAAGTCCTTTCCACTCTTGGACCTTGGTTTCCTGTCTGTAAAATGAGGTCTTAGACTCAGTAATCCTTACACTTTTGGACAATGGTGGATTATGGAGGGAACCTTTACCATCTTCATCTCATCACCTTGGTTGCTGGAGGCTGACAGATCAAGCATCAAAGTAACCCCAACCCACCTGGCACTGCTACCTCCTGGCAGGCAGATCACGGTCACCTTGGCTGACTCCTGATTCTCGTTGCTTCTCTCTTAGCTCTTCAATGCTTTGAGCACAACCAGACCCAAAACTCTTCTCCTGGCTCTTACAAAGAGCCCAAAAGTTTTTAAGCTAAAACCTAAATGTTTCTTAACACCCCCATTTTACATAGAGTGAGGAGCCTTGACCACACACTTGTGCTTGCTATTTACACCCTCTAAATTTTACCCCAAAGTCATGTTCCTAAAAAGCATTAGATGTGAAGGGATGGGAGATTTTCTCTCAATGAAGACCCAGGCCCAGAATCTGAAGGGTTACTTCTGCCTAGAAGCTGAAGATAGAAAAGGAACCATGAAGACTGGGTTACATTTTGGGTATTCAGTCCCAAATCTGATCTAGTTATGGTCATAAATGATCTCATGCAACCAGCCCAGTGTTGATTTACTTCTTTGGAACCAGGAGAGTGTTGACTTTGCAGAACATCCTCAAGCAGCTTAGCTATGCACAATCACACTCTTAGCATCAAACAGGATAGAGACCCCTGGGATGAGGACCAGTGTGAAGACTTCCAGGTTCTGAAGATAACCACACCAGACATGAAAATCAGCTCAAAAATGTTCTACACAGTCAAAGGAATGATAATTAACCATATAACTGAAGACTAGCATGAAGGAATAAATTGGAGTCACAACAGTCAAGCTACTAAATTATTAAAATAAAGTAGACTGAAGCATGAGGAAACAATTCTATTGTTTTTTTAAATATATTTTTATTGATTTCAGAGAAAAAGGGAGAGGGAGAGAGAGAGATAGAAACAACAACAATAAAAGAGAATCATTGATCGGCTGCCTCCTGCATGCCTGCTACTGGGGATTGAGCCCGCTACCTGCGCATGTGCCCTTGATGGGAATTGAACCCGGAATCTTTCAGTCCCCAGGCCAACGCTCTATCCATTGAGCCAAACCGGCTAGGGCAATTCTATTCTTTTTTAACTGAACTTTCCAGTCCTGCATGAATACCTGGACCCACATCAGGTCGTTGTACAACAATACTTGGCTATACATCATATCCTCTGGTTGACTATCTGAATAACTTTGAGAAGAAATTGTTTCATTGTCCAGGTCACTGGACATCTGAAGATTACCATCTCAGACCAACCCATAGACTAAGAATAGAGGGCTGATTCTTCTCAAGAATGTACTTTTTACTATAAGAACCCTCAGCTTTCTCCCCTCCCCCCCTTCAGAACATTCTGAATGTTCTGAGTTTTGTTTCCAGTTTACTAACCCTAAGACCCTTGAATAAATCTTTGTTATTTTATTTCTAGTCAAAGCCTCTTGACTCTTTTGAGTGTGTTTGACATAACTTAAGTATGAACAACAGCAACAAAGCAGGCTCATCTACAGTGAGACACCTCCTTGATGCAAACTCAAGTGGGAACACTTACATAGTGGGTCTTTTCAAAAAAGGGGTCAGGCACATACATGGACAGTCTTTGATGGATGATCCTTGTGACCAAGGCCTCAGTGAAGGCATTTCTCTGATGATTCTACACAGCATGGGGACAGCCTAGAGCACCCAGATGAGTGGATGCAGACCCTTGTGCTGCCTCAGCTCTCACACCCTCTTTCCAAACCTAGTTTTGGATGCTGGTCCTCTGTGAGACGGGCAGCTGGAGGCTCAGAGCAGGCAGCCACTTCCTCAAGGTTGAGCAGTAAGAAGGGGCACTGGGGGCTGAAGACAACGGAGGCGATCCTCCCACTCTTGGTCCAAAAGACAATCTTTTCAGCAGGGAGACTGAGATGGCCTCCCCTGGTGGTGGCCCCAGATCCTCATTCTTCCAGCAAATGCCACTGCCCATCTTCTTCAAGCTCAGCTGTCGCAGGTTGAGCTTCCCAGTGACTCTGAGATGGAGTTTAGGGTGCAGGATGTTGATTGAGAGGTGGCCTGAGGATCAACCCCAATCTCAAACTAAGTTCTTACCCCAGACTAAGTTCTCATCCCAACCTCAAACTCAGTCCTCACAGCAGACTGAGCCTTCATCCTGGCTTCAGGCTACGTCCGGAACCAAGACTGGGCTCTAATCCTGATCTCTGATTGAGCCCTGAATCCAGGCTGAGCCCTGATTCCTGTCTGAGCTCTGATCCCACGCCGAGCCCTCATCCAGCCTTATCCTGAGTTCTGATGTTGCTCTGACCCCAGCCAGATCGAGCTCCTGGCCTTGGTTTTATATTTCTCATCCACATCTGAGCTTCTCAAATGGGGACCCGCACACCCCTCTGGTAAACATGACCTGTCCACTGGACCAGGGGTCTGAGCTCACCTTCCTTTCCCTATGAGGTAGTGGGGCAGAAATATGTTAGAAGTGGTGAACCCCTGGATTCTTCAGCTCGTCATGCTGTGGGGGTCAGCATTCCAGCCCGGTTCCCAGGGGTAAATATAAAAGCTGGATCTGACCAGGGCCCTCTCCTCCACACATGTTGGTTTTTCGCAGGTGAAACCAATATATATTGTAATGCTTCTTCAACTAAACACTCGAGAACATAGCATACGTGCTCTCCATGACCCAACTTTAATTTCGAAGAAGGAAAATCTGCAGTTCTCCCAAATGACCAAAGCTCAGATAGTCTGTTAGATATGGCTGCACTGGGGTCATCATATTCCTGACGCTGCTCAAAGGGCGTCCTGCTTTGTTAATCAGCCAAGCAGCCAAAGTGCAAAACAGGTAGAACTGTTTGCCAGGCTCGGTAGGCAGCACAAAACAGTGTCTGCGCGAGAGCATCCGGATACTCCTCCAGAGGAGCTCCTCCTCCTAGCGAGCAGCTTCAGCTTCTCCACCAGGTCCTGCATCACCAGGAACACTGGGCAGGTCGCTTCTGAGGGGGGTTTGTTTGTTTGATTGTTTTTTTGTTTTGTTTTGTTTTGTTTTTGTTTTTGTTTTTGTTAATCCTCACCTGAGGATATTTTTCCATTGATTTTAGGAAAGTGAAAGGAGGGAGGGGAGGAGAGAGACACATTAGTTGTCTCCTGCATGCACCCCAACCAGGGCCCGGGATCAAACCTGCAACCCAGGTACATGCCCTTGACCAGGAATTGAACCCATGACTCTCTGATATGCAGGCCAATGCTGTAACCACTTAACACACTGGCCAAGGATGATTGTTTTTTTTTTATTCTTGTTTTTAATTTTAAGCCTGATTTCCTAGCAGTCACCCTGGGTTAGCATGTGATTAGTCAGAGATATCGCATTCAAAGTTCGGGCAGTTCTACAAGGGGACCCATCTTTTACATTCTATGTTTACAAGATCTCATGTTCGGCTGTGTCCTCTCCGGTCTGTCCTAGGTGCTCACAGCCTTGGGCATGGCACAGTCCTCCAGACCACCGGAAATAAGTAGGATCTTGTCAAGACCCACTTCCCAGATGTCCCTTGTTAAATTTCTAGTTGGTCTACCCGTCTGTTGCTTGCCCCGATTAGCATGGAGGCCTTAAGTTAGCCATGACAGTGGCCTCTGATTGCTTGCCACTGAGAATGCTGTTTTTGACAGCATCCCTGCATTGGGTGCACTCTTTAAGACCACAATGTGGTTGTCACAAGGTAGTGTATTTACTTGCAGCAAGTAAAGGAGATGGGGCATTTATATCCAAAGCTCTGTCTCCCCAGGCAGGCTTAGCCATTGCTTATATACACTATTTGGTTAATTACACATTGATTTCTTCTTTGTAGCTGGTACATTTATCTGGTTGGGCTGCTGTCAAGCTCATCCTGTTTTCAGCTGGTCTGCAAAATACTGTGCCACATTTTAACACTTAGCAAGAACAACATTTAGTAATAACATTTAGAACTGCCCAGACCTTGAGACCCTTATCCTACCTAACACCTAAGCATGGAATCTTGTGCATTCTTCTCCAATAAAGTCAGTCCCTGTCATCAGCAGAGCTGCAGTCCTCAGGGCCTGCCTTGCCCTGGTAGGATTAGAGCTGGAAAGGGTGTGGGGTGAGGGGAATAGCTCTAGGCTAACATGCCATGGACTCCCACTGTTCTTACTGAAGTTTGATAGATTTTCTTAAATAATGCTTCTCAATTTGGTGCGTCACACTTAATACATCTCAGAATGAATCCCTTATTCCCATCCCTGCCCGCTGTAAATAGAAACCCCCTCCTCCCAGCTCTTCAAGTCAAAAACCTTGAAATTATCCTTTATTCCAGTTTTTCTCTCACCTCATTAAACCTAACTGCAAATCCTATCCGTTATACCTTCAAAATATCCCCAGAGTCCATCTGCCTCTCACCACCACCATTAACACATA